TTTGGCACGATTTTCGTTTGTTTCTACAGTGTATCCATCGATTATGTTTTTATCTTTTCCTAAAATGTTTGTTTGCACAGCATGTACAAAATTTCGAGACGATCGAACGCTTCTGAAACTAACGCGAGAATGATAGTGTTGCAGTAAGAATAGAAAAATGAAAAATCAGATGTTCTGGTAAACCGCTTTGTACGTGTTTCGAACACAGACCGCATAATTCGTTCGTAATCGCACGAGAAAATGTAATTATTGCGGTGAGGAACATTTTCGGAATTAGTCGAACGAAATTGGTATCCCCGCACATTTTGAGTTATCAGCGGTGATTCGGATTGGTTAGATGCGCCGTACGTATTCGCGTGGTATAACGCTGATTGCGGTCGGTATCCGCAAACAATCCAGACGAAAACGGCGCCGACGAGAGTTGGCTCGAGAGCTGAAAACGGGGTTTAGTTTACGTCCCGCCGACGCCGGGATGGATGGATGGATAGGCAAGTTCGATCAGCGATTCAGCGTGAAATTGTGCGACGACCCCGCTTGCGCATCTAACGGAGGTGACTCGAGGATAATTAGGTTTGCGATAATTTAGTATACGGATCAAAGTTGCAACACGTCAACACGAACGTTATTATATACACGACTCAATCAATATACAAGATATGTAACACGAGTTTCGACTATTAACTTTGTCGTTTAATACTTGTATTTTACTTTTCATTTTAAAATGTTAAAACGTATGTAACAAAAATTTGGAAGAAACTTTTTTGGATTATTATATATAGCTCTTATATTCATTTATATACGTATATAATTATAATAAATTTTATTCAAGGTATAATATTTACTGTGAAAAGCTTAATTTGGATGCGTAATAGTCAATGGACGGATTCATGTGATATTTTTAATACTTTGTCATGTCACTCATATTTGAATGATGCATAAAATTCGCAATGGTCTTCTCATTTATTATTTCTGAGTGACGCATGACGGTTCTATTTACCCGAATAAGAATAATTTTATTAAGAACAATTGAAAAACAGGGCTACGAGCCAAAAATTCGTTAAAATATGAACTGCAGTTAGTAAATGAAGACTGTCATTTAGTTAAAAATATAATTTAGTTAAAAATATCATTAATGACCTAACAGAAGTCGAAACGTACGTACGTATGTTTTTAATTTTTATTAAACTTTATATTTTTAACTAAATGACAGTCTTTATTTACTAACAGTTCATATTTTAACGAATTTTTGACTTGTAGCCCTGTTTTTTAATTATTTTAAATTTATTGAGCCTTATTACAAATGTAAATTTTATCAAGTATTTAAGGCTCCTGAATACTCAGCCAAGAACTCCGTGTTGATGGGTAGCGACACCGAATCAGTCGGTGGCTAGCAAAACTGGTAGTACGCTACTAGTTATACACACAATTGCAAGTTCATGTCCGTGTGCTCATTTTCGGGTAGAAGGGGAGCGCACAGACATGGGTTCATGCTTGTGTGTGTATATAGCGCCTCGCCATGGTAAAAGTCTGAACTAATAGGCGTGAAAAAGTGATGTTTTGACGACAAATTTTTTCTTGCGTACCATTTTGTCAATATTTGCTTATTTGTGAAAATGTGACTTCCCTCGTACTCGTGAAAGTCCTAAAAATTGGCGGAAACTGCAGTTATCGTGAAATTTTATACGTAAAATCGTATATTTCACTCGTTCCATCAGCTGTCAAAATGTGTGATTCTGCCCGAGTATAGGCTCACTTTACGTGCCTTTTACGACCATTTACTGACTATCAGAGGAGGAAAGGACAGTTTCCGCCAATTTTCACAAGTGTTTTTGAGCGATCTCGCCTTTTAAATTTATCCAAATTGTCTTCATTAAAAAATGGGACGCAAGAAAGATTAATGTATTTTTCTCGCCTATGACGTCACAATTCCAACATGGCCGTCGCCGGTATTCAGGAGCCTTAAGACATTAAAATACAATAAAACATTAAAAATGCTAAAGTCGGCTTGGCAGATAAAGTGTTTTTTTAATTAAAAATTATATTAGTCACACAAACACATTATAGATGTGGGAAAGAGAGTTGCGCGAACGAGCTTCCGCAGAACATGAAACGAATGAAAATAGCAGTATGGTAAATGCACGGTATACATTTGTTTATTTATTAGATCACTTTTAACACCGATTTATACTGCGGCGTTACTGACCCATCAGCCGACGATTTCCTTTACGTGTCCTACATTATCAATAAATAAATAGATCGTACAGTGAGGTAACGAGGCAAATTGGGTTCGTGACGCGATCACTTTAGCTCATTGCAATTTTCTGTCAAGTTATCTGTAAAGTTATCGCGATGGTCGTCGCGGAAGACGCGCGTGATAATACCGATTAGGAAACATGTGAGCAAAAATTCTTTCGTAGCTTGCACAGTCTCGCTGCTGACTGAACCTTCGCAAATTCCAGCGTTATTTGATATTATTTGGTTCCCCTCTCTGTTTCAGGACTTGCAAATCATATATTATGGGTTACTAGGTCTGGAGGCGTTGCGTCCATGCAGAGACTCCGTTCTTCGCGGGCTCTGCAAGATCGTACGTTACGAGAGACATCATGCAAATCATGTCCTCTATTAGTAAGTGTTACTTACTTTTGAGTATAGCCCAAAGAGAAAACACGAGAATCAAATGTCAGTTTCGCATCAATCGTTTTTCCGCAAATTTTTCAGCAAACAAAATATATATGTAATTAATAAGATATTTTAAAACTTGTTACGTATTAAATATCACTTTCGCATCGACGATCGATTTTCAAGAAACCAAAAAGATCTCGTCAAAAATATAGTTTTAACTAAATGTGCTGTAATTTGAAGAGAGAATCACAAGAATTTCTCAAATATTGGAACACTTTTGTGAAAGAAAGAGATACTCTGTATGTATAATTCAAAGTTTCGTTATTGTGGAACTTTACCAGGATAATTTGGGAGAGTTGCCAGTTATTGATTTCTTTATTTACCAGCATCTCTCTATTTGTGTTTTATTTTAAAATTAGAGCAACTGAAGATATTTTGGTTTAAAAGGATTGGTATATTCGAATGTAGGACAATATTATCTTTATATGTATATTGAAAGTGAACATTGAAATTATTCGTGTGTATTTATGTTAATTTAATTTTGAATATATTAATAATTAATTAGAGGAGTTTAACTTTGAGAGTACTCTCGAATATAATTGTACAAGAGTTATGCAATATATGTATCTATATAAGAATATTAAATGCATGTATTTGTGATAGAAAATGAAAAAATCTGATAGAAAGTGAATACAAACTTATAGGATTATTATATGCATTCAAAAATTTCATTATTAAAACAAACTTGTATAAATATGAATATTGTAAAACTTAAATTTTTATTTTTTAATCCGCTTTATTTTTTATCTCTTTAAAAGAGTTGGTTTAAATACGTCAAATGGATATTGATATATTTAAATATTTATGGACATGTGTGATCGAACATTCAAGCTTTTTGAATTAAAAATTATGAGATTAATTATAATTTTAATTATTTACATGAAATTTGTGGAAAAAGAATTTAAAAGAATACCTGAGGTGTTAATTATAAATTTAAACAAATAACTCACCAACGGAGTCATGCATGTACCAGGATTGTTCCTTTACGCATAAAATATGATAATTTATATTTGTATACATATGTATACAATATAAACTATGTTTTACATGTCGTGTATGTAAACGATTATTCGAGTCTATTTGTATTCTTTGTTGTTGCATTAGACTGAACTAAATTTTCTAGTTTGCTTACATATATATATACATTTTTATTTATCAGTATTAAAATTACATGTATTAATAATTCTAAAACTTAATAACTTGCGGAATTATATTGTTCAGTTTAATAATTTACATTTTATATTGTCTGCAAGAAAAATATTCATGTAAACTTAAAACAATACATAAATATTTTATATAAATGTCTTAAATTATAACGATATAACCCTGATGTAGGTATGTACCATATGTAGAATGTAATAATTATATCATATGCATTGTACCTTCAGATGTAAATTAAATTTCACAGAAATCTTCTTTATCGACAGTATGATAATGTCGCGGAATTATTTTATCGACTTGCGATATTCTCGTGTATCGCGTGAGAGAAACTTGTTAAGTCTAGACTATGATGTCGCTATAGGTTACATCTTTTTCGCGAAAAAGAGATGAGTGGCGCGCGAATCGTTACAAGTGATTAGTAAGAATAGTATCTTAATGAAACGTTCATCGTTTATTAATTTGAATGAGCTATTCGATTTTATTTTCTGACAAAAGGAATAGAATGTTTAACAACTTTAAATACTTCTTACTCGAAAAGCTATTGTAACTTCGGTTTATTTTCGTATTGAGTTTTCATTTCAAAATAATCTTAGGAATCTGCAGTGAACGCAGTAGTTGTTACAGTAGACCTGGGACATTTTGTATGAGAAAGCTTTCATGTATGTGCATTCATTGCAGACTCGTATTTGTATTCTGTTATATATTATATATTTTTTAGATGAAAGAAATTCTTACGAGAAAGATGATAAACCGTGAAAAAATTCTTAACAAAGAATTTAATCCTCGTTGATAATAAAATAAATCGATCAATTTTATTTTTATCTTCAATGATTATATTCTGTAAACAATTTGAAACGAAGTTTATATAAGTTATACCTTTTTGAATCAAATACAGGATGTTGGTATGAAAAATACTTAATTTATTTATTCGACAAAGTATTTTTTACACCAATATCCTGTGTTTGACTCAAAAAGGCATAACCTAATACATTGATTTATCTCAACTGAGCTTTGACAGATTAATTTATAACGTTTACATAATTCTTCGATTTATTTATTTCAAATAAATGTATACAGAATGTACACTGATAGTAAATAAATAGAATGTTATAATTTTCAGCACCGGCGAGTTGGCTACAAGTTGGTATATACTTCTTTCCGGCTCCGTATTCATCGATGGATCCATGTTTCTCCCTCGTTCAAGGTAAGATTATACAAATTGAATGGAATATTAATAAAAAGAAACAAATCATTAATGAAAATAATTTCTCTCAGAGACCTTGGTTTGTTTTACCTTACATCTCAGGAATCTCTGATGATTTTATAAGATTGAAGAATACAAGTAAATCGAAACTAGCATTTAGGAGTGTTAATAAGTTGAATAATATGATTAAGGTACAAAAAGATGTTTTACCTCGAGATAAAAAGAAAAATGTTGTGTATAGAATAGCATGCAAATCATGTTCTGCTTCATATGTTGGACAAACAAGCAGGAAGTTAAAAACTAGAATTTCTGAGTAACCATATCAATAGGAATACAAATACTAACTCGGTTATAACAGAACATCGATTAAAATTTAATCATGATTTCGACTGGGAGAACGTCTCAGTACTGGACGAAGAACATTATTTAAGTAGACGACTAATATCTGAAATGCTTCACATATCATTACAAGAAAATAGTATCAATTTACGATCAGACATAGAAGGTTTACATAAAAATTATATACCATTTTTAAATAATGTAAAATAAGATCCGTTAGTTATATTAAAATTATATGTTTCCTTCGGTATTGTACATAAATTTGATTGTTTACACTTATATATGTTACAATATTTACTGTTTTAAATTATGACCGACAGAAGACACATTGAAGTCAGTTAATTATTATTAGACTTATAACGAAGACGATCGAAGATTTCGACGTCCGATTTGAAATTTTCTCGTGATGGATTTTATAAATTGTAAAATTGTTATATACATTGAAATGTGATCCAGAGCTTCAACATGTTTTTTTTATCTTTATCTTTTTCTTGTGTGTTTTGGGTGAATCACTGTCTGTTTTTTCTTTCTTTCTTTTCTTTAAGATTGAAATGAATCAATAATGAATAATATTTTCATTAACACATTAATTTAGATTGTACATCAAATCTGTTAATTTGATGGTGACATTCTCTAGATCACATAAGGAGGAATTTTTATATTGTGTATGCTGAGGATGACTCCAAAGAAGAGTCGAAACGTTCATAATTTTTAATTTACCAATAAATGGATTATAACTCAACACTAACCGAGTTGACTCTCATTTGCCTGTTCTTAGGAACACTTTACATTCGTTTTTTTTTTAATGGAATGATTCGGATTGTATGTAATAACGTAATCGATAAAGAACAACACGGACAATTGTTTTAATTTTCGACAATGACAAATGTACTGAATAGTTTTAAATATATATTTTTATATCATGGTTGAATTGTACAGCCACTGATGATGGCCATATTGAAGGCCGAAACGTTTGGTTTATCATGTAACGACTGATTTGATTAAATTATATGATATATTCGCTATCATTATCTTGCGTGTGGTTGAATGCTCTACCTTTGTTTTTCGTTTAATGGAATGATATTTTTATTTTTGTCTCACACGAAACAAAACAACTTTTTTTTCTGGAACGGTTTTATCTCTTGTTCCCATTTTTTTCTACAGTCATATTCACGACGTGAAAAATGTGAGAAAGCACGATGAACTTTCTCTTGACGTATGCTCGTTTAATTAACTTTTTAATTATTTATCGCTATTCTCACAGTTACGCGCGAAAGCCAAAATAGGGAGGAAAGGTCACGTGTATTTCTAGACGTTCAACTGACATTTCCGTTAAACGAAGATATTCATAATCCAACATAGGTCGCATAGTCATGAGGACACGTTTGTTATGGAAGATTTTTTTTTCTAAGAAAATGCGCGATGAGGACATTTGTATGGTGCACGAAATAATAACGTGTTTTATTGCGGCCAGATCTTTATGCGTGACATTTTTCCACCGACGATATGAAGTTGTTATATCTTTTTAATATCGTACCGAATGTGTTTTATACGGAAGAAATTCAGAAATTATTCGTAATATGTCCTACATCGTAGCTTCGTGTTCCATTGAATGTGTCTAGACATTAAATGTGTATATATTGGCCAATAAATTTAACGCAACACCTGTTTTATTCTGCAAAAATAGGTAAATTTCAAGATAGAATAACATCGTCAAAAATTATCGTATCGAGATGTTTAAAAAAGCATTTTATAGCTTGAAACCTCTATTTTTCAGATCGCTACTTGAAAAAACGGTCTCATGGAGATTTGAAGTTATGCAAACATAAATGAAGATATATCAGATCTCAAAATTTTTTAAGAAATTTGCGGAGTTCCACGAGGCGGACTAAAAATTGTACACAAATGCGATTTACATCATTCGAAAGAGCGAATCTTTACCTTTAATTTGATTTTTTTTACCGAGTTCAACGTTGAAGCAAAAATGACCCTTTTTGTTCAACGCGTTGAATAACTTGGTGAAAAAAAATTGTACAGAGATCGATAAAACCCCACAAATTAGAGGTAAAGATTCATCCTTTCGAAAGCTGTAAACTGCATTTGTGCACAAATCGTCTCCGTGAAACCGTTTTTTCAAGTAGCGATCTGAAAAGTAGAGGTTTCAAGCTATAAAATGCTTTTTTAAACATCTCGATTCGATGATTTTTGACGAAGTTATGTTATTTTGAAATCTGCCTGTTTTTGTAGAGAGTGAAACAGGTGTTGCGTTAATTTTGTTGGCCAGTGTATTAACATTGCCTTTTTCGAATTTTTAAATAAAATGTTTAAGAAAGAAATCAGATTATCTAATTTGTCTCTTCCGAAAAATGTGTAACGCTTGTTTTCGAAAAACTGCTTCAATTAATTAATTGTTTTGAATGAAAAGATTGCTTTTTGTAAAACTGTGAAATTATAAGAAATAATTTTATTTTATAAAAAATATATTTTTATAATATTTTGGAAATATTTTATATCGCGCGTTTAGTTATGATGCTTTAACGAATGAATAAAAATTGGATTGAAATTACCACGCACGTACATTATATGATAGAAAACTAGGTAGAAGTCCGCTTTCCAAAACACTTTATACATAATAAAACGTCTCATTATTTTAATGTTCTCCCACGCTGACAAGCAGAGTTATAATGAGTATATAAAGCTTGTGTCGTCGTATTTAGAGATGTTTATCATAATGCAATTCAACAGTTAATGGATTAATGGTCGTATAATTCGTGCAACGTTATTTCGAGACAGCCTACGTCACATGCAGATGGTAGAGCGCTCGTAAATTGGCTGGCCTCTCCCCGTCAGGGTTACGCTCACAATTTTCTCTCTTAGTATACTCTTAGCCGCTGAAATTTTCATTAATCGTACGATTCTGTATACAATGAGCAGAAAATTTTTAAATAATTTTGGTGTCGCTCATTTTTCGAGAAGGCAATAATTCTTTATTTATACACGTAAAAATTTGTGAATAATTTTTCTTCCTTTTACACGCGCGAGCAATAAATATTTAATTTTTATATACATTACATACATACATTATATACTGATATATTATATACGTTATATATATAATATATATGTGTATATTTTTCAGTTTTTATATTGAAATACGAAATGCTCATTCTGTGTATGAATGGAAAGTAATATTTTATCTATTATCACATTGATGAATCACAAATCTTAAAATTATAGTGCTACTAATCTCTGAAAAGTGCAAAAGTGTCATACAGACAGTGTTGTGCATAGATGATTTTAAAATTAGCTAGATAAAGATAAGATGAATATTTGGAAATTTATCTTAGATAAAAGATAAAGATGATTACATTTGAATTAATCTAGATAATATAGATATCTGATAATTTATTTGAAAAAATTCCAGATAATTTTTTATTTTTAAGACTATTTATTCGTTTATAAATTAAGAATGAGTTTTTTCTCAAAAAATAATTGAAAAAAATACTAAATTTAATAATTTTAATATTTAATAATTCGTTTATCTGTTACAATGCCTCTTACAATTTTCGAAAAAATAATGAAGAATCACATAAAAATTCTATACAGTTCTTTTCCTCTATATTAATTGCATGAAAGTAAGCAATGTGAATGATTATATATCCTATTAGATGCACCCACTCTCTTCCTGAGGCTGAAAATATTTCTGCAAACATGAACTACGTAGAAGAAAATATTTTAATATTTTCACATTTTTAGCAACGTAAAATATAAACCAAAATATCTAAACATCATTCTAGATAAAGATGATTTTTTTTCATCTAAAATGCAGATAAAGATAATTAATATTTTTATTATCTAGATAAAGATAAGATAGCATCAAAATTTCATCTAGATGATCATCTAGATAATTTTATTCAGATAAGATAAAACACTGTATACAGAATTCAAATTTCGATTTGATAATAAATAAAGTTTAAAAAGGATTAATGTGTGTAGAGAAAATATTTTGTTGAAAGAGATAAGGTGAACTTCCGTGTTTAGCGTATGTAATATGGCGAACTGCGATGTAACTAAATCGATACTTTATTTTGTTTCTCCCGTTTAAAGAGACTGTTTAAGTGGAAGGTATACACACGCTCGTGCACGATGGATGCTCTTCTTTACTAGCGCACGATGCCGCTCGCAGAAAAAAAGGGAATGTGGAGCGCTTATTATCTGCGGCCATCACACGCTCGGCTGCCGCTTGGTGGAACGGGACGCTCTTTCGCGTTGCATGCGTCTGATGTGCATAGACGAGCAGACGCATGCAGAGACGACGACAACAGAGACGCGGCCGACCGCGCGCACGAGTATTATCATAAGAGAAGCGCACCGCAATGCCCGCGCGATTCCAACAAATTAATCTCTCTACGACCGTTTTAATGCGCCGTTTCCTCGTTCTTCCGTCCTCCCCTGACGATTCTCGGGGTTCTCTCAATGATAGAGCAGGCGCAACGCTGCTCTAGCGTGTCCGCAGGATAGCAACGTATTTCCGAGGGAAGGAAATTCTAGGCGATATTCGCGTATGTGTGCGTATGCATTTCCACCTTGGTTAGAGG